CGAGAGCTGGCTGGGCTCCCCGCGTCTCCGGATGAAGGTAAGGGCGGCCCAGGGTGGGGATGGGGGGAAAGGGGTGGGTTTTGCATCCTCCCTCCCCCCAGCAGCAGCACAGCGGTCCAGCAGGATGGTGGCCCCTGGCTTAGCAGCACCTGCCTGCAACCCCTCACCCCTTCCAGCCCTGGGACCCCAACCCCGTCCCCTGGACCTGCCTCACCAGCTGTAACCCACCTGCTGCACCAGATCCTTCACCCCCTCCTCCTCCCCCTGCCCTGGCCCAGCCTGGCTGCACCTCCCTGACCCCTGCAGGGGTATTTTGGGGGGCACCTGCTGGCCCGTGCCCCCTGGGAGCCTGCAGGCTGCAAAGGTGCCAGCAGTGGTTTCAGGGGTCTCCCTTGAAGTGGTGTCAGGCTGGGGAGGGGACGCTGCTGCCCAGCACCCACCACCCTTTCTGTCCCCAGGGAGGATGAGCAGCCCCCAGGGGCACCTGGACGGGGTTTTGGCTGGGAGTGAGCAGAGCTTGGAGCCCGTCGGTGAGGTGAGAGGGAGGAGAGGGTGACAGATTTGGGAGGGGCCCTTCCCTCCCTGGCCTCTCGGACTCAGCTGGACCCCCAGCTGCTTGGTGCTGCTCTTTTTGGGATGTGCCCAGTGCCAAGGGAGGGGTTTGCTCCAACCGTGCCCTTGTGCCCCCAGGTGCCAGGCACAGACAGGCGTGAGCTGGCTGTGTGCACTGGGGACAGTGACAGGACTGCAGAAGGTGGGTGAGTCCCCATCCCAACCCCCAGCTGGGTCCCCTTCGGGGAAGGCTTGAAGTAGCTGGGGATGAGCGTGGGAACAGCATGGCCTGATGAGGGTTGTGTCCCTTGGTGGGGACATGCGGAAGGGGGGACTGGCCTCGGGGGACTCGAAGCCCCCCTGATGCTGTGAGAAGCATTGGGAGGGTCTCACACCATGGGCACCTGCTCCCTGCCAGGACAGGAGGGCAGAGGGAGGAGGAAAGGCCAAGGAAAAGCCCTCACTTGTGGTCTCTCCCATGGCATTACTGCCTCCCTGCAGATGCAGAAACCCCGGAGGAGCCACTACTGAGTTTCTCCAGTGAGTTCTCGGTGCTGGAGAGACTAGGCTTGCACAGGTAAGACCAGTGAACACCTCTGTCCCTCTGGGGGCTACGGGACAGGGGGGTCCCAGGTCACTGCGTGCTCCATGGATTGGACTTCCCTCCTTTTCCACCGCACAAGAGCCGCTCTCCAGGCGAGGGCACTTGGGTCCCCCCTTCTGGTGGTGGCTGGCACCCCTGGGAGCAGACCAAGGGCACTTTCAGCGTGCAGTCCCCGCGGTGCCTCCATCCCTGTCAGCACTTCTTTTTCCGCAGGGTGGCATTGACAGAGCAGGATGTGGAGGTGAGGGCTGCCGGGGGCAGCGGGTGGGCTGGGGAAGGGGGACGGAGGGATGTGCCCTGCTCCTGGCTGCCCTCCAGGCACCGCAGTCCCCTGGCAGCCGCCTTACAAATCCCTTTCCCGGTGATGCTGTTGGCATTCGGAGGCAGCTGCATTTCCACGGCAAGATGAGTCCGTCCTCTGAGCGTCCGGCAAGGCCACAAAGGGCTCTGCAGCTCGCTGAGAGCGCCCTTAGCCAGGGAGGTGGAGGAAGCCGTGCTAATAAAAATAATTTCCCTGCGAGTGCCAGGGCTGAGTCAGGCTCCGTTGTCAGCCGGGACCTGCAGCGAGGGCTGGCGTCTGCCCGGCGCGTGCTCTTGCCAGGAGGGCTTGGGATTTCCATGCATTATCGGCTGCCTGGGGGACGTGTCTCGGTCAGGCTGGCATCTCGCGGGGACCATCCCCAGCATGCAGCAGCCTAATCAGTGCTGGGGCAAGGCAAGTGCTAATTATCCTTATCACTGCCCTGCTTGGTGGCACGCTAGGGCGGGTCTGTCTGTGCTTTGGGGACAGCAGCGCATGGCCCTGGTGGCTTCCCCTTCACCCTGTGTCCCCCACCTCTTGCCCTCCCACCCCACAGGCAGCCTTTGCCCACCTCGCCCTGGCTTTTCGCTGCGACGTGTTCACCCTGCAGCAACGGGTGCAGGTGGAGAAACGGGCCCGGGATGCGGCAGAGGAAAACATCCAGGAGGAGCTGGGGCAGTGCCGGGCTGCCCTGGAGGTAGGTGGGCACCAGGGCAGGGGGCTGGCATCTGCCGGGGTACTTCCAGCCCTGGAGGGCTTTGGACAACTCGAGTCCTGGCTCCAGTAGCTCCATCCTCCCCCTCTCCCTGCACAGAGGCTGGGCCCATCCTGCACCGACACGGGCTGCAAGGAGACGCTGGAGCAGCTGCAGCGCAGCCTGGCTGTGCTGGCGGCCGCTGTCGAGCGGGCAACCAGCGCCGCGGAGAAGCTGGGGGCTGTACATCAGGTCTGTGCATCAGCTGGGGCTCCTCGCCAGGGATGGGAGGGCTTGGAGGGTGCTGGGTCTGGGCTTGAGGACCCGTCCCTGGGCTCGCTGAGGTCTGTCCCTCCTCCTCCCAGTGGTGGCATTGCCCTTGTGTTCGCACCTACCAGGGTGCAAGGGATCTGCCCGCCTTTGGGAGCGGAAAGGGGATGTATTTGCACCCCCTGGGTGGAGGCGCCATGGCAGGGACCTGGGTCCTTAGGGACAGGGAGATGAGGGGGGGCTGATCCCCCATCCTGCCCGGCCACAGGAGGCCCGGATGAGCCGAGCAGCAGAGGTGATGGTCCAGCACGTGGAGAACCTGAAGCGGCACCACATGCGGGAGCACGCGGAGCTGGAGGAGATGAAGCGCCTGATCCAGCAAAACTCCCGCAACCGGCAGCTGGCGGAGACCCAGGGTGAGGTGGGCTCTGCCGCCGGGGCCCGCGCGGGGTTTGCTCGGGGGCGACCCTGCGGGATTTGGTCCCGAACCCCTTC